CGGGCTCCCTGCTCGGCAGGGAGTCTGCTTCTCCCTCTGACCCTCCCCCCTCTCATGCTCTCTCTCTCTCATTCTCTCTCTCAAATAAAAAAAAAGATTTTATTTATTTATTTGACAGAGACACAGCGAGAGAGGGAACACAAGCAGGGGAGTGTCAGCAGGCTTCCCACTGAGCAGGGAGCCCGATGTGGGGCTTGATTCCAGGACCCTGGGATCATTACCTGAGCCAAAGGCAGATGCTTAACGACTGAGCCACCCAGGCGCCCCTCTTTTTTTTAAAGGATTTTATTTATTTATTTGAGAGAGAGTGCGTGTGCGCATGGGCGCACACATGAACCGGGGAATGGACAAAGGGAGAGGGAGTAGCAGGCTCCCCACTGACAGGGAGTCCCAGGACTCTGGGATCATGACTTGAGCTGAAGGCAGCCACTCAACCCACTGAGCCATCCAGGCTCCCTGTTTTATTATTTTTAATGATTGCTGGGTATTCTGTTGTTTGAGTGTATAATAATATAACCTTTGTCTTCCCCCAGCACTCATTTAATATGTTTATTTAAAATATGTTAATTCACAGCTTTCCTCTCCTTAGGGTCAACTCACTATCCAGAAAGTCCATCCTCCCCAGAAGGGACAGAAAGGAAGACCTCTTTGTAAGAAAGGCTTGGGTATCCCATGAACCAGACAGCAGAAAACCGATTGGGGTGCAGCAGGACTCCAGAGCCAGATATAAGGCTCAGAAAAGGGCACCAGCTGGATGGTACAAGGAGAGGTGATAATGACAGCCACCAAGGAAATTTGGAACCTGTTTTAGAGGCATCTGTTCTTTCTTCCCATCATAAAAAAGTAAGTTAAAGGGGAAGGATGGTAAGTAAAACAATGTTTATGGGAATGTGGCTGGAGGGAAGATATTTAGGAAAAAAAGAAGTATGGGGATGTTGCTGGAGAGAGGTTGGGGTTTTGAAAAGGAATATTGAGCACATTTGTAAGTTTTTGTTCAGGATAAATAAAAGTCTTATTTTTAAATTAGCTAGGTATTATTTGATTTTATAGTTAATCCTTTTCTGCTGACCCTAAAATCATACTTAATCTGCTTTATCTTGTTTGAGAAAGGAAATGGATTTTTTTTTAAGACTTTATTTATTTATTTGACAAAGAGCACAAGCAGGGGGAGTGGCAGGCAGAGGGAGAGGGAGAAGCAGGCTCCCCGCAGAGCAGGGGGAGCCCGATGTGGGACTTGATCCCAGGACCCCGGGATCATGACCTGAGCCGAAGGCAGTCACTTAACCAACTGAGCCACCCAGGCGCCCGAGAAAGGAAGTGGATTTTTGTAGTTACTATTTAATCTTTATAATTCAACCATGTTTTAGTTATGAAATATTATCATTTATATTTTTGGAGAAATTCTAACTCTGTGCTAGAACTACTCCAAATATGGTTTATCTCCAGTGTCTACCTTGGGAGTCACTAGAATTCTGGGAACAGAGGCAGATTTTAATCTTTCCTTTTACTTCCCAGAGAAAAGAGCAGCTTTTAAATTATTTAAGCAACTATGCCTAGAGAGCAAAGGTATAAGTATCTATGAACAGCATCAGAAAAGTCATTGTTTTATACATTTTGTTATGTGCTTTGTATCCTTGGAATTCCATAGCCTGTGTTCACTGTTGTGGCTCTAGTACAATGTTTCTCAAACTGTAGGTTGTTTTCATTAGTGGTTTGTGAAATTGATTTTGGTACTACAAGTAGTGTTTAAAAAATTAAATAGTAAGAGAACAGTGAGGTGCATGTATGTAGTAATATACCTTTAAATTATATTATTTGTTGAAATTGTATAGTTTTATATAAATATGTACATAGATATGAATAATATATACATTTCTTAATGTGGGTTGTAGTTAAAACATTTTGAAAGCCTCTACTCCAAACTGTATCTTTACCATCCTAAGAGATATGTTTATTGTGTGGGTAATAGTGGTGTTGGTTTGAACTCCAGAGGATTTTCTTGTCCTTTCAGGTCTATTACAAGAATTTCATCAGAGCACTGTAGCAATATAGGCACAATATAGGAAATTTAAGGTAGTTCTTCTATTCTTAAGCCAACTTTATCTTCTTGGCTAGATTGTGCTATAGTGAAAGATTTGCATGCATGCGTGTATGTGCCCACACATACAGAGGACAGGTCAGTAGGATTAAAAAAGCACCTATTTGCCTATAGTAAGTATATTATTATTTGGTCTTTAAACCAGCATTATTACTGTTTAGAGAGAAGTTTAACAGATATCTGGGGTAAGAACTTCCATCTACAGTTAAGACCTTGCTTTCTTGCTGCCATTTTATGGTAATGTGTACTAGTAGCTAAGACTTTCCTATCTAAGCTCAGCAAGCTGTTTCTCTCATTTGCTGCTAAGGCCTAAACAGTTGTTATTTTACTTGGATGAGTGACTGGAGGTGTTTTTTTAATTTTCCTTTTTATTACCGTAAACACAACATGAATTATTGCTAACTATATGTCCATTAGATCTCTAGAACTTTTACAGCTTGCGTGACTGAAAACCTCCCATTTTCTCTGCCCCTGCTAGCCCTTGGCAGTTGCCATTGTGCTTTCTGCTTTTATGAGTCTGACTGCTTTAGATATCTCATGTAGGTGGAATCATGCAGTATCTCTCCTTCTATTACTGGCTTATTTCACTTAGCATAATATTCTCAAGGTTTGTACATGTTGTAGCGTATATCAAGACTTCTTTTTTAAGGCTAAATACTATTCCATTATGGGTATATAGTTGCATTATTTTATCCATTCATCCACTGATGAACATTTAGGTTGTTTGTACCTCTTAGCCATTGTGAATAATGCTATCAGTACTGTTTTCAGTTCTTTTTTGTATATACCCAGAAGTAGGATTACTGGATCATATGACAGTTCTATTTTTAGTTTTTTTGAGGAACCTCCATACTGTTTTCCATACGAGCTGCATCATGTTCCCATCAGTAGTGCACAAGGGTTCTCATTTCTTCACATCCTCGCCAACACTTACTATTTTCTTTTTTGATAATGGCTATCCTAACAGATGTGATGTGGTACCTCACTGTAGTTTTGCTTTGCATTTTTTGGATGATTAGTGATGTTGAGCATTCTTTTCCTCTACTTGTATACTTGGAGAAATGTCTCTTCACATCTTTTGCCCATTTTTTAATCCATTTATAAACCAGTTGAGTTTTGGTTTTTTTTTTCTGTTGAGTTTTAGGAGTTCCTTTTATATTTTGGATATTAACTCCTTATCAGATATATGGTTTGCAAATATTTTCTCCTATTCCATAGGTTACCTTTTCATTCTATTGATTGTCTTCTTTGCTGTGCAGGAGCTATTTAGGTGACATAGTCCCACTTGTCTAATTTGCTTTTATTATTTGTGCTTTTGAGGTCATATCCAAGAAATCATTATCAAAACCAGTGCTGTAAAACTTAACTTTTCCTCTCTATTTTCTTCTAGGAGATTTATAGTTTCAGGTTTTACATTTAAGTTTTTTTGAGTTAAGTAATTTTGAATTGATTTTTGTGTATTATGTAAGGGTCCATTTTTACTCTTTTGCACGTGGGTATCCAGTTTTCTAGTACCATTTATCGGAGAGATTCTCTAGTCTCTTTCCCATTATGTAGTCTTGCTGTTCTTGCCGAAGATCACTTGACTATATATGCTGAGTTTATTTCTGGGCTCATGATTCTGTTCCGTTGGTCTCTATGTCTTCCTGCCAGTACCATACAATTTTGGTTACTGTACTTTTGTAATATGTTTTGAAGGAAGTGGCATATTTCCAGCTTTGTTGTTCTTTCTCTAGACTATTTTGACTAGGGGTGCCTGGGTGACTCAGACCTTTGGCTCAGGTCATGATCTCAAGAGTCCTGGGATCAAGTCCCATGTCGGGCTCCCTGCTCAGTGGGGAGTCTGTGTCTCCCTCTCCCTCTGCCCCTCCCATCCCCCACTTGTGCTCTCTCTCAAATAAATAAAATCTTAAAAAAAAATACCGTTTTGACTATTTGAGGCCCTTTGTCATTCCATATGAATTTAGGGATTTTTTTTTTTTTAATGATTGAGGTTATCTTAAAGAAAATGGAGATGTAGGAAACAGAATTGGAAGAGGGTTGACCAAGTTATTGAACACAGGGTCAGGAGACCCATCATCTACCCTTGTTAAATAGAAAAAGTTACTTAATTATCCTTGATTTGTATTTGTCATAGATGATATCTGTATTCCTTTCCAGTTATGATAGGACTCTACATTTTTAAAAAAAGATTTTATTTTATTTGAGAGAGAGAGAGAGTGCACGCGCATGCATGCACAGAGGGACAGTAAGAGGGAGAAGCAGACTCCCTGCTGAGCAAGGAGCCCGATGCAGGGCTTGATCCCAGGACCCTGAGATCATGACCTGAGCCGAAGGCAGACACTTAACTGACTGAGCCACCTAGCTGCCCCAGGATTCTACATTTTTATCAATTTTCTGATACTAAGAAATGTTCTCAAGGGTTTCCAGAATGTACACATTGAACTATTCTTTTTTTTTTTTTTAAGATTTTGTTTTTAAGTAATCTCTACACCCAATGTGGGGCTTGAACTCACAACCCCAAGATCAAGAGTTGCATGCTTTACTGACTGAGCCAGCCAGGTGCCTCACATTGAATTATTCTGAAATATACTAATACCCAATTTAAAGAACTGATGGTGATTATTAGTACCTTTGGCAGTTTCTAGAAGTGATTGTGTAACTGAATGCTTAGTAATGATTGATGGAAAATTGGGGAAGAGGAAAGGAGAAAGTGTGTGCAGGGCATTTTAATTAATAGTAGTGTGTGCAAGGTCCTGAATCTGAAAAGAACTTGGCATATTTAAGAAGTGTGGTCAGTGGGTAGGGGGAGGATAGTAAGAAATGAGGAAAAAAAATTCAGGTAAGAACCTTTGTAGACCATGATATGCAGAAAGTATATTGGAGGTTATTGGAAAGTTTTAGCAAGGGAGTGATAAGATTTTATTTGCATTCTAGAAAGATCACTTTGGGCTCTTAGGCGAAGACAGCAGATTTTGGGGGCTGTTGGTCGGGAGAGAAACTTGGAGATGAGTCAGAAGGCTGCTACAGAAATTCATGAGAGTTGCTTATTCTGGGTTGATGGTGATAGTTGAGTTGGCAAGAAGTGGATACATTTGAGCTGTGCTTTGGAGGTAGAGCTGACAGAATTTGCTGGTAGATTGGATATGATGGGTTAAGGGAGAAGGGAAGGAAATGACAAGAATGAGTCTGAGGTATGACGTGAATACTTGGGATTGCTGGGGTATGATTCTGTATTCTGAGATGGGAAAAACTAGAGGATAAGTTTGGAGGTGAAGTTAAGTTTAGGTGGGAGGATCAAGAGCTTGCTTTTGGCTGTGTTAAATATAAAATGCACGTGAGACATCTTAGTGGATGCATCTAGAAGATAGTTGGGTAAGAATGTGGCATTCCTAAGAGTGGCCTGGACTGGAAGTAATTTATTTAGGAACTAGCTGCAATGTAGATACGATACTTAAAACCATCCAAATGGTTAAGGTTACTTAAGAGAGGAAGAGAGAAGAGAGGGAAAAGAGAAGGGCCTAGGGTCCAGCCTGAAGGACGCCAGCATTCTCAGGGCATTTCAAGGAGAGAACAAGTAGGTAAGGTAGGAGGAAAACCCAGGAAAGTGTTACATCACAAAAACTGGGGAAGTCTTTCAAGAAGGAGGGGAGGGAGCAGTAGCAGTGATTGGTTTGTTTCTAGTGCTGCTAAAGAGATCATGGACAAAAAGGATAGACCAGTGACCATTGGTTCTGGAAACATG